AGACTTACAGGCTCTATTGCCGCCTTAGGGCGATTTCTGTCGAAGGCGGCCGAACGAAGCTTGCCATTTTTTCAGGTTCTCAAGAAGTCCGATACCTTCGGCTGGACCGAGGCTTGTCAGAAAGCCTTCATGGAACTTAAAGAACACTTGAGGACTCTCCCGACCCTGAGCACACCGGACCCGGGGGAAACTCTGATTTTGTACTTAGCCGTGGGTGAGTCCACAGTGAGTGCAGCCTGGGTGCGGGAACATAAGGGAAAGCAGATCCCTGTTTATTATGTCAGTAAGGTCCTTCTTCCCGCCGAGTCTCGGTACACCCTTGCTGAGAAGTTGATCTTTTCCCTTGTGACCGCGGCCTGGAAGTTACGCCCCTATTTCCAGGCGCACCCGATCCTTATTCTTACAGATCAGCCCCTACAGCAGATTCTCCGAAGGTCCGACACATCGGGCTGGATGACTAAGTGGGCTGTGGAACTCGGGGAGCATGACATAGAATTTCGGCCCCGGACCTCTATCAAGGGACAAGCTTTGACCGATTTTCTTGTCGAAGTCCCTCGGGGGGTGGAAACCGAGGCTAGCGAATGTTGTCAAGACCCTGAAAGATCTTTCCCTGCCGGACAGCAACTATGGACTTTGTTCGTCGACGGGTCTTCCTCTAGAGAAGGTTCGAGCGCGGGCGTGGTTTTGATTGATCCCCACGGGTCGGAAATTGTTTATGCCATCCAACTGGATTTTCCTGCCACAAACAATGAGGCTGAATATGAAGTACTGATCGCGGGGCTATCTATCGCCCGCGCTCTCTTAGTTCAGAAAATCTCAGTTTGTAGTGATTCTCTGGTGGTCGTTAATCATGTTCTTCGGCTGTATGAAGTTTGAGAGGTGGTGCTCCAAAAGTATCTTAGGAAAGCCAGGGTGTTGGAACGCGGCTTCCGTGTCTTCCACATTCGGTATATACCCGGGTCGCAGAACACAAGGGCCGATGCTCTGAGCAAGTTAGCTTCTTCCCACGCTGTACACTTAGCCCAGCAGATTCACATGGAAGTCAGGACGCATCCGAGTATCCTGGACGGTGAAGTCTTGCCTGTGACGATGAACGAGGTATCTTGGATGACACCCTTTGTCCAGTACCTCAAGACTAGGGCATTACCCGCGGACCCAGGAGAGGCTCGGAAGATTCGGCTCAAGGCGCCTAAATACCTGATGAGGGATGGCATCCTCTACAAGCGAGGGTACCTAACGCCCTTGCTGCGCTGCGTTGGGCCGCGGGAAGCTGAGACGTTGATCAAGAGCATGCACGAAGGCGCTTGTGGGGCTCACTTAGGTGCACGTAATCTGGCCAAGAAGCTGATCCGCGCCGGATACTACTGGCCTACCTTGTCCCAAGATTGCTACAACATCGTCCTTCGGTGCGCGCAGTGCCAAAAACACGCCCCTATTCCGCGTCTACCCCAACATGAGATGGTCCCAATTGGCAGCCCGTGGCCTTTCTACAAGTGGGGAACGGACATAATAGGGCCTTTCCCATTGGCCCCGGGTAAGCTCAAGTTCGTGATCGTCGCAATTGACTACTTTTCTAAGTGGGTCGAAGCGGAACCTCTGGCCTCTACCACAGGGGCAAACGTTGCCAAGTTCTTCTGGAAGAACATTGTCTGCCGGTTCGAGGTCCCGAAAGTCCTTATCTCAGACAAGGGGACTCAGTTTTAATCGAGAATTTTTAAATCCTGGTATGAGCAGCTCGGGATTGAACATCGGTTTTCGTCCGTGGCCCATCCTCAGGCCAACGGGTTGGCTGAAAATATAAACAAGGCCATCTTACAAGGCATGAAGACACGGCTTAAGAGAGCCGAGGGACTATGGCCCGAGGAGCTGGCCCACGTCCTCTGGGCCATCCGTACCACTATGAGGACGGCCACGGGGGCAACTCCTTTTAGCCTCGTTTATGGCATGGAAACCGTCCTCCCAACTGAAATAGAGGTGCCCAGTCCCCGGGTGGTCAACTTCGCGGAGGAAATAAACGAAGATGAAATCCGCCTTTGCCTCGATTTCCTGGACGAAAGACGAGACCTGGCCAAAGCCCGCGAAGCTAAATACAAGCAGATCATGGCCAAGTACTACAATGCCAAGGTCCGGGCTCGGGACTTAGAAGTCGGAGACCTGGTCCTCCGACGGAACGAGGTGAGCCACGCTGAACCGACCGGAAAGTTAGCTCCGAATTGGGAAGAACCATACAAGGTTGTGGAAGTTTCTCCCTCAGGGAGTTATCACCTGCGCATGTGTGATGACGAGCCCCGCGACATCCCCCGATGGTGGAACTTCCAGAATCTCAGGAAGTTCAATATCTGAAGGCTTTTGCCTACTTTTGTAATAGATATTAGCCAAGCAGAACTCCGACACTTTTGATGTTAATATACTACTTCCTGTGCCTTCGTACAAATTCCATCCTTCCTGAAACCGTGTGGCCTCCGCGGCCTACGGAACCCCTATGGTCCCCGTGACCTTGGGGCATTTACAAAGCCGTCTCGACCCCAGTGGCCGACGACACCGTGGGGCCTCCGCGGCCTATGGAACCCCTATGGTCTCCGTGACCTTGGGGCATTTACAAAGCCGTCTCGACCCCAGTGGCCGACGGCACCGTGTGGCCTTCGCGACCTACGGAACCCCTACGGTCTCCGTGACCTTGGGGCATTTACAAAGCCGTCTCGACCCCAGTGGCCAACGACACCGTGTGACCTCCGCGGCCTACAGAACCCCTACGGTCTCCGTGACCTTGGGGCATTTACAAAGCCGTCTCGACCCTAGTGGCCAACGGCACCGTGTGGCCTTTGCAGCCTACGGAACCCCTACGGTCTCCGTGACCTTGGGGCATTCACAAAGCCGTCTCGACCCCAGTGGCCGACGGCACCGTGTAGCCTCCGCGGCATGCGGAACCCCTACGGTCTCCGTGACCTTGGGGCATTCACAAAGCCGTGACGACTCCAGTGGCCTCTGCGGCCTACGGAGTCCCTAACAGACCTCGCGGCAACGGAATTCCTAAGGTTCCCGCGGCTCTTGATTAGGTATGGGTTAACTAAACATCGACTAAATTAGTACAACATTAGTAATACAGTTGAAATATAAAATCCGGGGGAACACTCATATCACCTCCGTCGAACCGTAGCAAAGAGCGTCGACAATAAACAGAATTTTACATATACAACCGTAAAAGCATGAATAATAATAAAACAAGTAAATGAGAAAAAGCAAAAACAAGTCGATGTTCAAAAAAGATGAATCAATTATATATGTGTGAATTTTCGAAGGCATGGCCCTCGGATATATACACTTGGCAAAATTACATAAAAAATGACCTAACAACCTAATTACATGTCCCTATTGAGACCCTCGACCTAACTCGAAAAAGAGAGCGTCGTTCTCATATATCAAGCGTTCGGCTTCGCGAGTTGGAGAAGTGGGGTCGTCTCGCATGGCCGGACAGGGCTCGGGCCACAACGCCTCAAAATCATACTCCTTCCCCGTCTCTACAATGAAGGATATCGCGCTTTCCAAAGCCGTCTGAAGCTGACCAGCATACGCCCGAAGAGCCTCGATCTTATCAGAGGATCGATTCCACTTCACAGCAACCAATGCGTAAGCCTTCCGGAGGTGTACCAAGACACTCTCGAAATAGTTGCGGGGAATAAAATCCTCCGAGTCGGGTTCGGCTAAGCCCTCGTCCTTCTTTTTCTTCCGTATCTTGGCTTCGAAGGTCCGAAGGCGATTGTTAGCCAATATCTCTAACTATATAGAGTTCTTCAGGTGGTCCTCCCAATAGGCCTCCGTGTCCCTCCATAACTTATCCAGCCGGTCGTTTTCGGCCTTCGCCTCGATGACGGCCCTGTGTGCCTCGCGCAGCTCCGAGGTCCTGAAAGTTTCCAAGGCCTCTTCTTGCTGGCCCTCGAGACCCGGCAGTCGTCCTCGGCTCCTGTCGACATTCGGATCCACCAAGGCGCTTCCTATAGCCGCATACAGTGGAAAGGTCGTCGGGTCATGATGAGGATCGGGCAATTGTAAGTCGATCCAGGGAATCCCGGACATTTCCCAATGACCCCGAGTCGCGGGTACACCTCGAGAGGTTCCCTCGGGCTGAGGGGGGAAGTCCGAAGCTGCGTCTTTCCCCTGTAAGGAGGCGCGTATCCCCAGAGGTAAAAATAAGTTTGAGCCAATGAACAAATACTTGATAAAATAAAAGAACATAATTATAATAATCATGATTGATAAATAAACGAATGTAGTTGTAATTGATAAACGAACAAGTTTGAAACAAGGGAATGAGGAAACAACGAATCAACCGTGAATAAATTAGAAGTTCATTAATACTCGGTTAAAATTCATAGATACAACGGGGAGAGAGCCCCGAAGACAGGTGATCACTAGGAGGAATCCTAACCCTACGCATCGTTCACCTTGTCTCTGCTGTTAGTGTTGGAGTCGGTCGAGGTTCCCCCTCCTCCTCGGCTTCCAGAGTTGTGCCCTTGGGGTGGAGGTGCAGGTGCGACTATCTCCGGCTCCTCATCGGGCCCCGGCGGCGTGCTCAGAGGCGTCTGCGTCCCCCTCGGTATCTGGAAGACGAACGAGGGGCTGCCCCGGATATTTAGAATTTCTTCGGGCTTCGAGACGGAGGGGCAAGTCCCGGCTATCTGTTGCATGATGGAGAGATGCGCGAAGTCCATGTTCCGAAAATGCTTCCGGGCCTTGCACCGCACCCTTACCGCGGACGTCTTCCCCTTCATCTCTCTATCAGCATATTTGTTGAGGATGGTTGGATGTCCTCGTCCTTCCTCCGGGCCGCCTCGATCTCCATAACGACCTTCCTCGCCCCCCTTTCCATGGCGGGGTCCATGACGTCGTTTATTCCGAGGGCGAACTCGGACGACCCCAAATGCCTTTGAACTCCTGCAAGGATGTACGCATCCAGACGGGATTTGGGGACGCTTGTGGCCAGCAGACTCTCCATTTGAAGGCTATGGGTCAGTTCCATGCCTTCGAGCTGCCCCTTCATCCTCGTGACCTCCTCCTCCAGTCACCCCCTCTCTTCCTCCAAGGACTAGAGCCGCGTCTCTGCCTCTCGGGCTTTGTTGGCCTTGCTGACGGCCTTCCTCCTGGGCCGAAGCCAGCTGCCCTTCCAAGTCCGCGCACACGGACACAAAGGAATTCACTGCCTGCACAGCCTGCATGACGGATACCCTGGGTCAGTAAAGAAACCCCCCAACTACGAGGAGAAAGTACTTGAGAGAAAATTCTACCTGTCTCATGCCATCCTCCAGCCGCGGCACTCTAGTGGCAGGTAAGTCCGTGCATTCGACCCGTGGAGGATCGAACGTCAGCAGGGCGTGACCCTCGGGTACGCCCTCGAATTGTCCTGCACCCCGCCCTTGATCCTCGTATCCCTCCTTCAAAAGTTCGTCGATGGAGGATAGTTCGTGGATCGCGGGCAAGCTGAAGGACAATGGGTCGACCTCCACCACCTCCGGATCTCCCCGCTTCCTTTTTTGGTGACCCGAGGTTTGGCTCGAGTGGTTCCTCTTCCTCGAACTCTCTGCGCGCATCCGCGTCATTTGACTGGAGGGCGTCTGACCCATTTCCTGTTGAGGAGTTCCTTGCGGCCTCGCCTCAGGATAGTGCTCCTCCTCGTCTGAATCATCAAAAGCTGAGCGTTTACCCATCAGATTAGCAAATATACCTATCAACAAAAAAATAACCAAAGTTAGTCTTCGGGTAAAATACCTTGTTACGAGCACTGATCGTGTCACTTAACGACGCGATTTACCTATAGGTGTAGGTCTTCTTCCACCCGACCAATTTCTCTAAGTCCCCCCTCCAGGCTTCCATGTCTTTCTTATCCCTCTTGGTCCACGGATCTAAGCTGATCGTTCCTCCCTCGTCCTGCATCCACGGAAAGAGGGCAACGAAGTCCGCGTCCACGTAAAAAAAGCCCGACCTCCATTGCTTAGAACTCTCGTTCTTCGCTACTAATTCTTTGGACGGTCTGTGGGGATTTTTTGTGAAGCTGAACCATCCAGGGAAACTCTTCCCACACCGGACGAGTTCGTAGAAGCACCTAAATAAGAAAATATCCGGCTCCACCCCGTTCTTGTTACATACGTGTACGAACAATAACACTATGGTTATGAGATTCGGAGTATATTGGGCTAGGGGTCGGCTGTAGGCTTCCACTATCATCCGGAACATAGGCATCAGAGGAAAGTGCAGCCCATATTCCAAAAACTTCTCGTAAACTGTGATTTTCCCTGGAGGAGGAGTATTGGCCCTCTCATGGCCTTCTGGTAAGGTGGGTTGATGGCCGTAAGGCTATAGTTGTTTTCTAAGTCGCTTAACCTATCCTGGGGTAACGAACACGCAACGTCCTCTACCCTAACTACTTCTTTGGCCATGTGGCAAATCGAACGAACGAAAGAAGAGGGAGACTTACTTGTTAAGGGTCGGTTAGAAGCCGCTACGGTCAGTCGCCGGCCGTGACTCTGATGCCCCAACGGTAGTATGCTCTGATTTACGAAAAAGAAAAGAGAAGAGAAGAAGCCGGAGCTCTGAATGCTTAGAACTTGAGAGCAAAAGAGAAAAAAAATGAATTTTGGCGTCCTGGGGAGAACTTATATACTCCAGAGAAGGGGAACAGTCCCCTCGATTTTCCATCCAGCGCCATCATTATGGTGTGGCCCCCCAGGAAATCCTGCACGTCCATCCCATTTGAGCGGGAAGGACCAAGGGTCGTTGGATCTAGGGCGATTATGAGGAAGAAGATTCGGGAAGCCTTGCTTGCTTGTTGGGCCTACATTTTCTTTGTGTCAAGCCCAATTCGGCTTTACTGCATTGGGCTTGATAGGGGCATTTGTTGGGGGTCAATCCTGACCCATCTTGACCGGCCCAACTTGCCATCCGACTTGGGCTCATCTTACAAGCCCAAGTCATTCTTTTATTAATTCCTTTGGGCCCAACCGGGTCACAAGGAATTAACGCATGTCTATTTACGCTCTTGCCCTTCTCGACACAGGGGCTCACAGCTATTGTCCCATTGGGACGTATAAATACTCCTTGTTCATTTATTGCTAATCCAATTCCACACTCCTGTTTCTCTCTCTAAGTGTGACAATTAGCTGCTTCTTTCCCTAGAACTGTCTTGATCTTTGGAGTGCTAACCTCCGTTTTGCAGGTTCCCTTCTAGGTCGGACCGTTGACTCTCAGCCCCCGGGATTTACCCTCGACACATGCAATTACGTTTTTTCTTGCTTAAGCTAGCTTGCGAATTGGGATTTTCCCGAACTCGATGCAATGTCTGAAATATTTTTCTAATGTGTGTTTTCTTGGATTAAAAAAATGTAAAATGTAGAGTTAAAATAGCAAACAAAACAAAATAAACTCCTTAAATGTGCGTGTACCCAAACACACTCTTGCTTTTTACTAGAGTCCACGATAGCCTATAGTTTCAATCTTGACTAATAACTTTCTGATTGTTGCTCTCAGTACCGTGAACCTGGGTTTATTCCACTTAATACCTCATCCGATCTTACAAATTAAGGGTTCATTATGCAGATTCCTCGTAATAATACTCTCACATACTCCCTCCCGTCCTTAATTATTATTAGGCATTTTGATTTCGTCATAAGTTTAATCTAGGATTTTTTTTAATTAGAAAAAAATATTAAAAATATATTTTCACATTCATTGTGTTCTCCTAATAATTATGAAATGTTTTTAAGATTTTTATTTCAATTAAAAAGACATCCTATGTGAAATCTAAGACGAAATCAAAATGTCTCAAAATACTTTATAATAAGGATCGGAGGGAGTATGGTCGTGCTTGACGATAAAAATGTACTTGTAAACCGGTAAAAAGTAAAAAGTAAAGATGATCATGCTACTTGATTAAACAAACCAATTTACATCTTATATTGCATACGACCCGATGTTACAATGTAATTTTCGGACAATCATCTTTTCGTCCCCCCCCCCTCACCACCAGTTTACTAGTATTCACTACGGTCAGAAAAATTTGCTATTTATTGTAATGAACCCTTAATATAATATCTCAGCAGCTAAATAAATTTTGACGAACTAAACTAATAAAGACTAAAGACAAAAAGAAAAAAAAGTTGTCCTTCCATCCTAAGATAATTATCATGTTTGTTATATTACAAGAACAGAGAGAGAAATTTGTATTGATTTCAATGGCATTGGAGATCCTGGATGGCTTGGCTGGTTACATTTAAATTAACGCTACAGTTTAGAGAGGAAGTTCTGTTGGTAGCGAAAAACTTTAATACTCGAATTTCACCTCTCAATTCAGCATAGCTCTTCAACTTCATCAAATCATCAGAACCGTTAAACAAATCATCTCTAACGATGTTCACCTTTTGAGAACTCACTTGAACGAAAACGTTCATCCCACAACGCTTTCTCCCTTTAACAATCCCGCCACCAATACTCTTCGTGCCAAGAGTCGTGTTTTCGTATGCAACGCTTATGCTTCCCTTCTGAAACTTGAACGCACCAAAGTTTCTATTGCTAACCTTCATTCCTGCCCCCATAGTCATGTTCACCGAAACCGAATTTCCAACCCGGCTGTATTTGTGGACCCGAACTTGGACCGAGTCGAGCTCGAGCTTAGGGTAATCGATCCGAATTATGTATAGTGCCAAAACTATGCCGGCTAGACAGAGTAAGACAATTAGTGTGTAGAAGAACAAAAAACATTTGCTGCATGTACTAGCCTTATGATGAGGGAAAGAACGAACTTTTGAGTAGATTCTGAGCGGCCACGAGTAATCGGCTTCGTCGCTTTTCCGGTTTGATATTTGTGGTATCGCCGGTGGTGGCAATACATGGCTCTTCTCCACCATTTTTGGAACTTGTAAAATCGTGATTTCCCAATATTATTTAGAGATTAAGGAAGACGGTGGGAGATAAATCTTTTGTTCTTAAGACTTGACTTATATAATTGGCGGCTAGTGGGAGATGATGCAACAATTTGGAATCCACTTTTACTAGGAGAACTAATAAACTCTTGAGTACATGATTCCAACTCCACGATGCAGATTCTATTTCTTAACTCTTAAGTCGTATTTATGATCTAAAATGATTATTTTATTTAAATGATTTAGTATAATTTGTACCAGATATAAAAATCAAAACTGGACAATTATTCCAGGACGAAGAGAATACATTTTTATTCTATTCTAGGAAAATAATCCATTTTAACTGTTTTATTTATTTTTTTCATAACTGTTTCATTTCAAAAGCTAAACTATTTTATTAGAAATGAGATGGAGGATATTGCTAACAATTAGTGGAGAAGAGTGTATGTTTTGGGTTCCAATTGAGCTAACGTCGTCTTTCTAAGGCCAAAATGCATGCATGGGTCGATGTGGTTGCGGATGAATAGGTTCATTAGGTTGATCTGCTCATTTCCTAATGGCTGTTACTTGTGGGTGAAGAAAATGGGTTAGTTGGAGCCCGGAGCATAATAAAAAAAGCATCTCGACGTCAACTTTCACCCTGTTGTTATCGTTGGCCAAACACAATAGTAACCAAGCCCAAGAATATATGGGATATACAGATTCTGCCCAACTAAAACATATTGTTTTTTTTTTTTTCTCCTTTTATTTATTATTGTTAAGATCTTACTTACTGTTATGTTTTCTGACGAGATGATCAAAGCGTCCTAAGTAGACACCAATTGGTCATCGATAAGTTGAAACAAAATCCTCGCCACAATTATGGAGTTTATTGAGAATTATTCTTTTTAACTTATGTCCCTCTTTATCAATAAACTCCAAATTTCAAACTTAGAAGCGTAACTGAAAGTCTGAGAAAGTGACACGCACCCAAAGGGCAAAAACCAGCCGCCATTCCATTAATTTTCTCGTGTACCATTTCTTAATGAGAATTATACTGATTTAGGGACTGAATATAAAATAGAGTACATATTATACTCACATCAAAATTTGAGAATTAATTTGCCTCAGACAAATAACAATTGGAAGCCTAATTGTTAAGTGAAAGAGACCTTTTACGTTCTACGTACTTGGACTCCATGCATCTGTGCAGAATTAAATTAGTGTTGAATGTGTCGGGTATTTATTTGTAGCATTTTTATGATTTCTGTCTAAAAGAAAATCAAAACCAATGTAAACCAAAAAAAAAAAAAAAAGGAAAGAAAATCAAAACCAAAAATAAAAGCTAGCTACCTTCCTTTTTTCCCCCCCTTTTGGTCACACTTTAAAGGCTACATATTTTCCACTAACCACTATAATATCGGTATTCTAAATCTTGTACTTAATACGTACATTTCGTACTCCGGAGAAACTCCTCTTCATTTTAGGCTGCTGCTCATTTCGTGTTGAATTTTTTTCCATCTGTTCAAGGAACTGCAACTTGGCTGAAAGATTCATTTCAACAAACAGCATTAATTTTCTCCGAGGCCCCATTATTTAGAGCAATTATCCACAGAAATTGTCGACTGTCGTTACGTTACAGAGAAGATTCACAGGATAGTAACTTTGTTAACGAAAGCAGAATTTTGGCAGCTAAATAGTTAGTACTACTTCGAAGTACTCGATATTTACAAAAAAAAAATGTTATTCTTTCTCCTATAACCCAGAATAAAAGTCCTATTTGTTGTATTTTCAGGTTAAAAAAACATTATTTGCTTTTTCGAGGAACGATAAGAGTATTAATCCATCATTTCAAAGGATAATGTCCGATAAATTAATAACAAAAAATAGAGACCAAAAGTTTCTTTTAGTTAAGAAAATCATCACAAGCATTGGAGATCCTGGATAACTTGGCTAGTTACATTTAGGTTCATGCTACAGTTCATAAAGGAAGTTCTATGAGTCCTAATAATCTTAACTACTCTAATTTCACCTCTCAACTCAGCAAAACTCTTCATCTTCACCAAATCATTAACAATACTGATATTCATATTCTGAGCCCTCACTTGAACAAAAAGGTTGATCCTCTCACGCTTTCTTCCTCTGACAAATCCGGAACCAATATTCGTCGTGCCGAGAGTCGTGTTCTCGTGCACGACGGATATGCTTCCGTTCCGAAACTTGAACGTGCCAAAATTGTCGTTACTTAGCTTGATTTCTGCCCCAATAGTCATGTTCAAGGAGGCCAAATTGTTTGAACTGCTGAACTGGAGGACTTTAGCTTGAACCGAATCGAGTTTGAGCTTCGGATAATCGATGCGAAATACTAGTAACGCGAAAACCAGGAAAGCTAGGCAGACAAAGACAAGAAGTGTGAAGAAGAAGACGAAACATTTACTGCATGAAGTTTCCCTTCGGGGAATATAATGAAGTTTTGAGTAGATTTTCCTCGGCCAGTACTCTTGGTCGTCGCTTCTCCGGTATACATGCGGCGGCGCCAGCGGCTGTGCATGGTTTTCTTCGGCCATTTTTTTTGTGTGTTTTGGATGGGATAATATTATTGCTAGCTGGAAGATGTCTATGGAAGTAAGCTTTCTTTTTTTTCTTTGAACTTATGAACAAGTTGTTTGTCGCAACTTCCTTAATTTATATAGGCAAAAGTCTTCCGAGTTGTACACGATGTAATTGTAGTCAAAGGCGGCCTTAAGGTAAAAGAATCAATTAAAAATTATTATTCATGTGTTAAAAAAGGTTCTTCATCACTTTTTCAAAGTTGAAATGGAGAAATTCTTCCAGGTGGGGGGCGGAATTGTTCTAGTTGAAATAGTTAAAATGATTGAGGGGATGAGTGTTTAATTTGTAATTTAAGTCGCACTTTTACTCCACACATAGTGCATACACACGTTAATGCAAATTCTAATAATAGGAATAGTCTACCAATCAGTGTTCTTGAATATTCTATGGTCCATGACGCACACTGTCGCTACCTAGTTAAGGCTTGTTTGTTTTCTTTTTTAGTTGGTTTTTTCAGAATTAAATAATATTAATTGTCCCATCATAACATACTTTTTTACATTCTCAATAAAAAAATACCTAAAAATACATATTAAAAAAACGAAACAAAGGTACCCTAAACAACTCAATACATCATAAATAAAAGTAACCAAAATATATTACGTTGGGTAAGAGGGAATTAGGATTTGAATTCGATTCGGTATACAGTAGAACATCGATAAATTAATAACTAATACATCTGATGTGTCAAATTAAGTTGGTTTAATTGTTCAAAGATAAAAATTATCTAATTTATTTAAGATGTCAGTTTAAGGAAAAGTTACTACACGCTAATTACATAACTGATTTTTCATCCTCAAATTGATGTTTATCGAACCATCTGTCCTTCAGCTGAAATCGCATGATGTGAAAGACGTAACGTGAGGAAGGCAACTTGGAATTGGAAGTTGGAAAATGAAACGGCAAATAAATACGAGGACAATGCATAATGAGATAAAGACAAAGACAACTTGGATAAACAGACCCCATTCCTGTCCCTTTTGATTTGCACTGCACGTCAAATAGGAAACAATTACTTTCCTACAACTCACTCAACTAAGCGGAGTCTTTATCCGGTATACCGGGAGTACCATATTCCCTTCCTATTTTTTAAACTATTAGTCTTTATTGTACTTTTTTTACTTTTTCTAATAATTTTCCTATTATTTGCAAGTTTAGTCACTGTTACTTTTTTCTCCCTCTTCTTAAAAAACATCTCTAATATTCAAACGATCATATCTCTCAATCCATGAAGAATTAGAAAACGTGTTATACATGAAATTTATTGTTCTCGTCGAGATCTATCCAACAAGATCCATAGTGAATATTTTTTCCAGGCTTAAAATGATTAAATTCTGATGGACAGAATGAACTAGTTATCCAACTTGTTTGTACTAGATATCATCCATTTGGTTTGTATGCCTATCAAACTTGTGTGTAATGGATATCCCACTTGTTTGTACTAGATATCCATTTCGTTTGTACTGGATATCCATATCCAACTCGCTTGTACTGGATATCCATCCATTTGGTTTATATGCTTATCCAACTTGTTTTGTAGTTGTAATCCAACGGGTTTGTATGCATATCAAACATAATTTCTCTTCTTCTTTTTTCTTCTTTTGAGTAAAAAATCTGTCCAATGTGGTCATGCTGATTATCCATCCGACTTCTCGGTGATGGATGGTTATCCGACTTGTTTTTTTCCTTGCTCTTTTAACGAAAATATTGTCCGATTTTTTGTACTGGTTATCCAACCAGCTTGTACTACTTATCCAATTATTTTCAATAATTATCCAAATTGTTTGTAATACTTATACAAATATTTTATTTTTTATTCTTTTCTTTTTTTTTTTTGAAGATGAGTGAATGTAAAAAATATGACTGGATAACAAGTACAAAAAAAATGGATAATCAGTCCAAACCAGTTGGATAAATCTCGTCGAGCACTATAAAATTCATATATAATTCGTGTTCTAATTCTTTACGGATCAAGAAATATATGTAATACAAGAATATCAATCTAAACTAAGTTGGTTATTCATCTTCTTTTTTTTTCTTTTTTGAAAAGTGAATGTAAAAAATATGATTGGATAAAACAAAATAGGTAATTAGTCCAAACCGGTTGGATAATCAGTATGAATATAACGGATAATCATTTTTCAGTTTATTCATTTCTGCCCGTAAGATTTAAATGCATTTAAAATTCAAAGAAATATTCAACATTGATCTTATTGGATAGATCTCGTCGAGCACTATAAATTTCATATATAATTCGTGTTATAATTCTTTACGGATCAAAAGATATAAAGAACACAATAATATAAATGTAAAATAAGTTGGTTATCCATCTTCTTAAACTGGATATCCAATGTGTTCATATTGATTACCCAACTTCTTTTTGGTGGTTATCCAGTATTTTTTTTCCTTGCTCTTTTATGAAAATGATTGTCAAACTTTTTTGTACTGATTATCCAACGTGTTGCACTGATTATCCAATTATTTTCTATTGATTATCCAAATTATTTGCAATGTTTATCCAATTATTTTTTCTTTCTTTCTTTTTTTCTTTAAGAGTGAATGTCAAAAATATGATTGGATAACAAGTACAAACAGAATGGATAATCAGTCCAAGACGGTTAGATAATCAGTAGGAACACAACGGATAACCATTTTTTAAAGAAAAACGAAAAACACATTTCTTCATTTCTGCCCGTAAATTTTAAATGCATTTAAAGTTCAAAAAAAATATTCAACATAGATCTTATCGGATAGATTTCGTCGAGAACTATAAATTTCATGTATAATTCGTATTCTAATTCGTTACGGATTAAGAGATATATGCAATACAAAAATCTTAATCTAAACTAAACTGGTTATCCATCTTTCTAAACTAGATATCTATCTTATTCTGCCCATCGAAATTTAGTCATTTTTCAACTCGAAAAAAATATTTGACATGGATCTTGTTGGATAGATCTCAACGAGTATTATAATTTTCATGTATAACACGTTCTCTAATTTTTTATGGATCATGAGATATGGTCGTTTAAAAATTAGAGTTTTTTTTTTTACAGGAGAGAGAAAAAAATCAAAGGGACTAAACCTGTAAATTATAGGATGTTATTTAGAAAAGTGGAAAAAAAAGTATAATAAAGACTAATAGTGTAAAAAATAGGAGGGGGAGTATGGTGCCACTGATGCACCCAATAAATTGCCAATTAAGCGACCCCAGGATTCAACCTTACAAATTTGGTTTATGTACAATTTCATCCCCACATCGAATAATACCATTTCAATAAAGAGAAACACCAACCATGTTACTCTCAATGACATTATCGAATGGAATGACATGAAATCCTTCACTTTTCATTACTAGCGACATTACATCAATATCATTACTCATTAGTTTGTGCCTGTATTTAGCATGTTATTAGGTCGCTGATTTCTGAAACATGTGTCCTGCATATTGATACCACTCCAGAAGTTAGTTAGTTTATCTTCATTGCAACTTGTTTGCGGCTTTTAAGAGGGAAAAACAAAACCCCCCAAAAAGAAAAAGTTCATGTAAAGTGCAAATGATAGCGTGACACGTTAATCCTCCCATATGTGTCACATCATTTTTTAGAGATGTTTTACTACATAATTTTACTAATTAAGCTATCACTAGTCTAAGGGGGGAAGAAAATGCTAATGACTTACAAGATATGACTATTACAAGCATCGGAGATCCTGAATGGCTTGACTAGTCAAATTAAGGCTCATGCTACAATTCATAAAAGAAGTTTTATGCTTGGTAACAAACTTCACAACTTTAACTTGGCCTCTCAATTGAGCATATCCATTCAACTTCACCAAATTCGAACCCACATCGCTGCTGAAATTCACATTCTGAGCTAAATCATCATTTGACTCCAACTGAACAACAACGCTAATCTTCTTAGCCTTTCTTCCTCGGACAATCCCGCCTTCAATATCCGTCATGCCAAGAGTCGTGTTCCCGTACACGACGCTTGTGCTTCCATTCTGAAACTTAAACCGCCCGAAATTGTCGTTACTAAGCTTGATATCTGCCACCACGGTCACATTTAAAGAAACACGACTATTATTATGATCATCATTTGCGACGCTATAGCTAAGGTCCTTAACTTGGATCGACTCGAGTTTGAGCTTCGGGTAACCGATTCGAAGCACGATCAATGCGAAGATTAAGCAACATAAGGAGATTGAGACAAGTAGAGTGAAGGAGTAGACGAAACATTTGCTGCTTTTACTATGCTTGATGGGGTAAAAATGATTGTCACGGGCTATCTTTTTCCAGCTGGTTCTGCCGGCCCCCGGTGGCGGCGCCGCCCACTCTTCGTCGCTTCTCCGGTACGTTTGTGGCGGCGCAAGTGGCAATACATGGCTGTCCTCCGCCATCTATATAATTTGAGAAGAAAGTGTTTGTTTTGGAACTGAAAGAAGCTGAAGCTAAAGGAGAGGAATGAGAAGCTTTTTTTTTATAAAGTACTACAATGACTACTTTTGTTGGTTGTGGAAGTTATAAATGTGTGGATATTCCATTGTCTATGGAGTATACTCTATTTATATAGGAAAAAAAGAAAAGGTTTCGAAGGGTATGAAAGTCAAATGGGGGTGCTTAGTAAAATATAAGATAAAGTAAAAAAAAAATTATCTTTTTTTATAATTATTACAGTTTCGTCAGAGGTTTTATCTTTTTTTATAATTATTACAGTTTCGTCAGAGGTTTTTCAAAGTTGAATTGGCTTATATTCTCTTTCACGCGAGGTTTGATTTCTTCAAATTGTCATTTTTTCTTTCTTTCTTTTTTTTTTTTAAATAAAAAAATGAAGAAAGGAGAGAAAAGAATGATGCAATCGAAATGTTTAATATGTGAAAAAAAGGGTCAGTTTACCGCAGACACGTCGTTGCTTTTCAAACGGGAAGCTGTCAACTATTCAGTAGTCATTTAAGAAATTCATTTGGTGTATATATATATGCATTCATACTACTAAATGGATAATTAAGAATTCACCTTCTCTTTTGATTCATGGCGATCGAATCAAGTGATGGAGAATATATAAATATTTCGATGGACTTATTCTATATATATATATATATATATATATAATCCGCTCTCTTTTCGTAGTTGATTTTCATTTTTTTCTGTTGTTGGAAAATTAGAATGAAACCGTTGTTGCTAAAATGAGAGTGTGTGACAAAAAATACCAAGAAAAAAAGAGATCACCTTGCAATAAAATGCTAGACGATAAATCACTTGATTACTAAACCAAAAAAAAAAAAGAAAAGAAAAGGGAAAACCTTATACAGAGTTGGGATAATTTTCAATAGAAGTTAAATTTACCCTGAGAAAATTTTATTCCTATATGGTTGACCACATTTGAAAATTTAATTATAACAAATAAATCATTTACCTGGAACACTTCCCAAAGATGAAACTGTTAATTCGAGCAGTATTTTAAATAGGCAAAACCGCAAAAGTAACAATTTGGTAGACGATTTAAACCTTTAACATCAGACTTTCTCAGACATTGATAATATGATATGATTAGTTTTTAGTCCTGTCAGCTGTATAAGCCACATTGAATCAATATAAGATTGAAAAAGTAACCTTGATCCTTGAGCCTTAAAGCTAATCCAACATAAAGCAAACGATTAAATTAACGAAGAAAGGGAAAACAAGACTTACTTTTGTTCTTTGGCAAAAGGTAGAATCAGTATATTCCAAAATTTGAATTTAAAGTTCGTTTGAATTTTGAACTTTTAAGAAGAAATATTTAACCAACACTTGTTGCTGGAATTACAAACACGAAATTTAATGTGACATATTTGTATTACAATTTTTACAAAATTACTAAAAGTTTTATACGTCTCAAAAAAATGGGAATTTTATAGGAGGCCATAAGGATTGATGGAAGAGAAGGGTTTCAGGATCAATTGAACGTTTTGATTCAATTGATAAATCTTTGGGATAAGTATCAGATTGATAGGAACCTGTAAAAAAAAAAAAAAAACTTTAAGTAGTAGTTTCCTAAATTTCAATAATCAAATATTTGAATTTGAAGATGAGATTTACTAAAATGAGTAAATATATAGGAGTATAAGATATCATTCGAATCAACAAAATAAACTACTTTCTCCGTCCCACAAAAATAGTCCACATTGAGTTTTGAGTTTTGTATTATTTTTAGTACAAATTTGAAACTCAATGAGCACTTTTTTTTTGAGACGGAGGGAATATTTCTATTTAAAACCATATCTTCTATAACAAATTAACCATACCTTCAAATATCGATAAAATAAATAATTATATATATTTGGGTTTGACTATTTTTTAGCTCTTTTTTTTTAAAAAAATTATCATTAGTTTAAAATTAACACATCCCATGCAACACGTGGGGTAAGAATTAAGTAAGTTGAAAAACTACTACAATGTTAATGGTAGTGCGATTTTTTTCACTTAATTGATGTGCAAAATACAATTTCCTTCTAATCTTTTTAAATTTCATTCCGATTCTTATTTAAAATTATGCAAAAAAAAAAAAAGACTAGAAACCGTCCAATAATAAGAATTCAAATGCAAACATGTAAAAAATAATTGGGTATTCAAAGGACGTTTTTCTCATCAAGTATGAGATGCTATTTTCTTGAAACTAAAATATATATAAAAAAATGCATCCTTAAAATAATTGAACAATCCTTCGGGGGAAGAATCTTTTGTTGCTAGGGTATTTTCAGTCGAACTTAAAGCATCAAAAGTTGTGGACTAAAAGTCTAAAACGTTAGTTTCCCATTAAAAAAAAAAAAAACTTAAATGCCATCTTGTAAGCTACATTGACAAATTTCAATAGGTATGCCAAGCTCTTTAAAATAGTTTGTATCGTGTGATTATCTATTGTTTTATGATTCAAAAGGCAGTATCATCTTTTTCCGATATTATTTACTCCCTCCGTCCCATAATTATTGTCCACTTTGTCCAAAAAATTTTGTCCCAAAATTATTGTCCAATTTGACTTTTTATGGATCAAGTTACACATTTGTCCTTAGTAAAAAACATTATCCATAAAATCTTAATGGTTAAACAATTACATATGTAGGGGTATATCCGGTTGTTTAAGGTAAAATATAGTTAAATTTGATCAAAAATAAGATCTTTCATTTTAGTAAAACTGGATAATAATTATGGGATGGAGGGAATATTTCTCAAAACATTCAATATGTTGTATTAATAACTAGTGATTCACATAGAGTTGCCCTTTTATCTATTTTTTTTTATTATCCAGACAATTAAAAAAGAAATGACTAAAATGGTATCGACTTGTATATGAAATCTCTACATTCGATAATATTTTTAGAAATGCTAAACTTGCTATTGAAAAAAGTGTGTAGTATTATATAGAGTTCTACAGACACATCCAAAGTCAGTGAAATTTTCTTTAATATTTCAACATGTATTGTGTAAAATACAATTCCTATTGTACTAAAGTTTCTATATATAATTGTAAACAAAAAAAAAAGTTTCTATTATATAATAATTTTTAGGGACAATATTTTATGTAAAAAAGAGGAAGATGTTAACAATTTAAATGTAATCCAGAGAGTGCGAAAAAATTCACGACCCGACGATATAACAAAAGAAGTTCAACCAATTAGTCATAAAAGCTGTTTGAGAATACATGGAAAATCACAAGTAACAAAAGAAAAGTAAATTTTGAAATAATATAATCCGAATAAAGCTAATTTCTATGCATCCCAGCATATATAGAGCAGCCTTCATCTCCAAACAGTTCAATCCAATCCGGTTCGAACCATCTGCTTGAGGTTTATTTAGAATTAAAACATAATTCATCAAATCTATCCAAGCCTTCCTCCTTTTTTCTCATTCACCAGATCTTGTAAACGTAGACACTTCGAAATATAAAAGTACCAAAAAAAAAAAAAATTAGCTATAAAAAAAAGAAAACAATTCATTCCATATGTACCTACTTATTTATCTACTTACATACCAAAATTGCTTACCTCATTTCTAAGCCTGAGATTCTCATGGAGCATTATGTTGTAAGAGAGTGGTCTCGCGCCACCTCTAGAATAAAAAAGAAATCCCTGACAAGCTGCACAAAATGAATTTGCGAGTGCTTCCCTCAACATCTTATTCTCCATTTTCAATCTTTTATTCTCAGCTTTTAGCTGATCATTCTCTATTTTTTCTTGTTGAGCCTAAAATTTCAATTTAAAAGTTATATTCAATTTTCAGAAGATATATAATAATGTAACATGACTTACGAGTAGTTATTGTGTACCTTGATTTGGGTTCTTTTGTATCGGAACCAAGATTTGATTTGTTTGGTAGTCATGCCTAATTCCTGGCTCAGCTTTTCGCATTGGCTTTCACTTGGCTTTTCGTAATCCATGAAAAACCTACATAAATATGTATTACTAAGTCATTAACTGCTTGGAGATAAAATACAATATGAATAACTAATGTGCCCTCCTATACATATGTGAATGACTAATGTTATACCCTCCTACATATATGTATATATATATATATATATATTCTAAGATTAACTAGATATCTACACATGATTTATATTTAAAAGATGATTTTTAATGAAAGAAACTTACGTTTCAAGGCTACGAATTTGGTGCAAAGAATGTCTACGATGTCGCCTCCCGCAGTTTCCCGGACCAGTGAAAGCTTCATTGGTAACGTCACGGTTTGCTACGTCTTCAGGATTCATCTTCTTTTCAATTGCCTATGATTACACAAAAAAAAAAGGAGGAAAAATACAACAATTAGTATATGAGGAATGCAAGCAAACACGACCCTAATTAACACTCAATTACAGTTTTTTAAAAAAATTCTTTGAAATTAAAAATATTACATAAACGGTTTTGTAAATCGTTTAACATTCATGGATGAGAAAATGGATAAAATCACACAAAATGTACAATCTACGTACAAAAATAAATATAAACATAAAAAATCAGAAGATGAGTGAATTTTGGGTCTATTAAGAATCTTGAACGACTAATCTCTACTATAATAAACATTAAAATCTGGCAAAGGAAAATAAAGCAATGTGGTATGTGGATTTAAAGGTGTGGTCGCGCAATCAACACAAATAACAAAAAGAAGAAATCTAACCTACAGTATTTTTTGTCAAATGCTATTTGGCTTGGCTTAATGAGAACAGGATACTCAGTATTTATAAGCTGCTAATGAGCATGGTGCGGAGAATATTTGTAACCTCCGTCAACACTCAACACCTCATATAGCAACTATGGAAGAAATATTAAGTGTGAGATTACTGTAATCAATGTAATTAAAAAACTTCCTCTGGCGTCTCAACCAGATGTTGACCACTAATAATTCTAGCTAGATACTCATTCATTTCCTTTTTGTTTGTTTTCCATTTTGTTTTTCTTTGATATCATCACTATCTTAATGGAGATTTTTTCTTCATTAGAAAAATGATACTCTTTAAACTTCAATTTTCGGAGAATTTCATAAAATCTTCCCTTAGCTATATATGTTCAAATTTAAGTTTGTCAATTAATTGGAAAGGTGATGAATGTTTTATATTTAATATGAGTTTTATAATCCAAAGACAAAATGCATATTTTGATTTTCCTATATCTAAGATAATAATTTTCGGAGATATTTATTACATTAATTCAGGAAGTGTATCGTCTAGGTCTTCATCTGGTATGTAGTACACCCTTTAATATATTTATTTTCAACCACAATTGATTAATTATTTTGGATAGTTACTTAATACACAATGAATAAAATGCCGAATAATTTTTCTTCATGAATGAGCCAATTGGCAGTTTGAATCGCCCTCACATAATCCGTTATTATCTTGTGCTACCACAAATTTTTTTTTTTTTTTTTTAACTGCTACCACAAATGTGTAACATAAAAGAAAGAATAAGAAAAAGACACAGACGATGAATATCACATTGAAGCCCAGAGTTTATTTACGCTCAAAAGAGTTGAAATAAATCAAATAATAACAGGAAAAAGAAGAGAAGACCACAAAAAGTCAAAACAATTAACACGTATATAATCTGTTATGGTAGTTTCTAACTTTACCCTTTTATTACTCTCTTGGTCCAATGTAAACATTTTGGTACAATGATGATATATGTGGATACTCGACATATTATATTTAACAATTATTTTATTATTATGATGATGATTATTTTTATTATTATTATTATTATCATTAATATAATAACAATAATATAATAATAATAATAATAATATTTTTATTATTAATGTGAGATTTCTGTATAATTATAAAAATCTTCCTCTAGTTTTTCACCAGATGCTGACCACAGAAAATTCAAGCATTTCCTTTTTGTTTTTTCCTTTGTTTTTGTTTGTATAATCATTATATCCTAGTAGAATTTTTTTTCCATTAGAAAAATAATATTTTTCGAACATCAGCTCTCGGAAAATTACATAAAATTATAATTGCTGTATACATACTTTTTTCTCTATGTCATATATAATTATTTTAGGAGATATTTAGCACATAATAATCCCTTTACACTTCATGAAATCAAATGACACTTAAGACACGTATCAGCTTTACAAAGAATTTTTTCCCGCCAAAACGGAAAAAAAAATACATCTTTTGCAAAAATATATTGCCACGTGTCCTGTGTTCATCTGAAAAAAAAATTCTATATAATCAGTCCACATTTTGAATCACTTTATTATCAGTTCCCAAATTGTAGAGATTTACATTTATGGTTTATAACAAAAATCATTCCATATAATTAGGTCCCATTTTAAATTACTTTATCAGTTCTCTTCTATTATCCTGGATAATCACGCGTGCGTATATACCTTATGTCATTGCTTCAAATCCCTTCAAAAAAGGTTCAAAAAGAAAGTTACCATCGGTAAAGTATTAATGAATCCGGATGATAATCCCTCCAGATTGACATTCCAGATCCTTTTCACAGTTTAAAAGGAATCAACCTCTCTATCATCGTGAAATCAGAGATTAATATCAATCAACAATTAATTTTAAAGAAGGGGATTTAAATTTTCAGCATGGCATATATATCTATCTATACCTCTGTGCATATCACGTTATATTCAAAAAAAAAAAAAAAAACCATATACTTACCATTGATTGGTTTCCTGAAATCATGTTGAACAAAGCCATCCAATATCTGTATAAATACATCTATATAAGCCAGAGAAAGACCACCATTGAGCCACCAACAAAAATCACAAACACGCTCCTTTTTTAAGTTGATACAACTCTTCCCGCTGTTTATCCATCAATGGCGGCTGCTGCTCAGAGGTATATAAGAGACATCAACGGCTTGATCAATACCAAAAGCCTAATACCAAAAGCCTACACTTCAGAATCGTTGTTCGTGTCATGTCAATTTGGAATATGTACATGAGGCAAGATCAGAAAGATGTCAAATCTCTGGAACTCATTTTTGTGGATGCTCATGTATCATGTCTTTACCATTTTTATTTCCTATACTATTATGAGATTTATATAAACCAATTACTTTCCTGTGTACTAATTTTTTTTGTGGATTTTCGGGTGGAAAGATCCAGGACACCATCTCAAGAAGCTTTATGGACAGTTTCATCAACAAACTTGAAGAAGGACGTGTTCGCTAAATCTCCTCATTTGATCATGCTCTGAATATCGTTGGAGGATACCGGTGTTCAAAACACGAGTACAAGATCGTGTATGTGGGGTTAGAATGCTTACTTGAATTTAATGAAATGCAGACCGCTATTTCGTGTACATGAGATAGTATTTGTTGAAGATGCTGATGTTGGAGATCTTTTGGAAGATACTGCTTATAGCCCTCCACCGAAAAAGATGAAGGCAACTCAAGATGGTGATGAGAGTGTCAAGTCCAACCATAACAAGTGTGTTCGCAAGATCTAAAGAAGGCAGCATCATTATCAAATGATCAAATTTTAGGAAAATAAAGATTGCACTTCAGTTCTGAAGCTGTAATCCTTATCATGCTTTTACAGTTTGAAAACAATTTTTACATTTTCTCTTTCAGAGAGTTATCAGGGCACCATTTTGGTGATTATTATGTTTTTTGAATTCATATTTCTGCCTTATTTAAACATTTTGGATAAATCACTGCTGAAATTGTGTTTGTTGATTATTTGAATTTCCACTTTCGTAAATTATACATGCTTCAATATGAATTTAAGATGTCTTTTATCAGATGCACAATTTATTTAATGAAAAAAAATTAAAGTTCCTTTATAAATTAAAAAAAAAAATCAGTACAAATCAATCAAAATGAATTATAACAAGTGCAGATATACTATTCAAACTCTTGTGAAGATTAACAAGTAATAATAAGTGGAAGAAGGTACATTACTGTATATATATGAAACTGCTTAAAGGCATAAGGAGTTGAATGAAGAATTCATATTTGTTGTTGTCGAAACTCAACTTCCAGCTCAAATGGAGATTTCCCTCTGTCTTTACAAACCTCCATGTACTTATGTTTAATCGTAAATGCAAAAACAAACTTAATCCCATTGGATTAACAATCAGGATTATATCCCCATTTTAAACCCGGTTTCACTCCCACATTCGCCGCATATATCATTCGCCCATGAATGAAATCTTGCTTCAATCAAAAATTTAAAATCAGAAAGAGGGATGAAAAATTTTGTTTGAGACTATGTGTACAGAAGTTTCTGGTGCCTAATGTGTACTTTCTTTTATAAAGAAGTTCCCCATAAATAATAATGCCAAGAGTTTTTTTTACTTTTTTTTATTGTTAATACTGTGGAAACATAAAACTTGGACTACTGGCCCATCGTATAAGGTCTAGTTGGGCTATAAAAAAATAAGCTTATTCAAAGTTTGGTCTTGGGAAACGGGCTGATTTACACAGTTGGACATATATACAACAAAGGCAACACATTTTTTAACACAGTATCTATTCATCCTATTTTTAATAAACAGTAATATTTAATTTCAGAAATTATTTTCTGTCCACAAAATTATCAAGTTTATACAATATATAACCATTTAAATAATGGTATTATATTGGTAAATATTTTTATAAATATAAATAAACCAATTTTAAAAGCGGGGGCCTCCCAAGAAGCATCTAGTATAAAATAAAAGTAAATGTATCCAGCTCTTCATATAGCCTTCAATATACCCTATTAAGCATAATTCATTAATTTTTTTTTTTTTGTCAAAAGTAAACAGTATTTCATTTCATGCAAAGAACCACCCCATTGTACATTGCTACCATGCCGCTATTACATCAATCATTATTTACAATCATCCTACCATTTACAAAGACCATGCATGTTTCTAATACTTTTTGTGCTACTGTACCAAGTTTTTTATGATATATGGCCGCAACCAGGACTGCCTGCAATATTTCTCTTTTCAGCTTTGCAGTCCTCCAAATAGATTTGATTTCCAGCCTCCATTTACCATTCTGTCCAGTCAGCTTCCTTATACTCATCCACTCTTTAATCCTGTCAAGTACAGTCTCTGAATAGTAGCATTCGAAAAACAAATGCTTCCAGCTCTCAGTATCATTGCCACAGAAGCAGCATCGAGGATCTGTCACAGCCAGATTCCACATCATTAGTCTTTCTTTCGTCCACAGTTGATCCTTACACATTAACCATACTATGAAAGAATGTCTTGGGACATTCATTCTTGCCCAAACCCACTTAGCATCAGACCAAGGTTCT